TTTAAAACAAACAGCACATAAATTGTTGACTGCCATTGTGCATCAGAGTTAGTTTAAAATCAAAAAATGCTGAAATTTTATTAGCAAATTATTTTGTTGAAAATGGCAGATATTTTTAACTAAAAACTATACTTTTTGTTTTTTGAATTTCATACATTTTTCCATTCCCCTAGAGGTTTTATAGAGGTTTTAGAGGACTATTTATTTTCATATATAAAACTAAGTATATAAAAAAAAAAAAAAAAAATCTGAAAGGAGAGACTTCAAACCTAGTGGTTACTGTGGTTCGTTGTGATCACATAACCAAAAAATTACTTTTATTACTGTTAGGTGTTTTTTAGTAGGATAAAAGAGTATAGTTTTGCACCATTAAACACTGGTGTTTTATATATTTAACTGAATAAGTCATGATTTTCAAGAACAACTTTCATATTTACATTTATTACTAATAGAAAAACTATAATCCTTATGTTTTATTATGGTACATGAACTTTTTAAAAGTATTTTTATGGTTAGTATAGTTTATAGGTCCTGTTTGGCATTAGTACCTACAAAGAATTTTGTAAATCTTATTTTATATTTAAAATAAGATTTACAATATTAAAAAAAAAAATTACTTAAAAAAAAATTTACACATTCAAAAATTAAAATGTTTTAAAAACATTAAAATGCATTGTGATTTTAAATACTTCTTTAAAAACCCTTAACTTAAATTTCATTTATTAGCTTCACCCTTGATGTACTAGAAACAATACCTCCAACACAGTTTGCATCAGAAAGCTCTTAAATTGCACAAAGTAGTTCCTAAAGTTAAGTTGTTGTTTTTTTATATGCCAAAAACTTTGGGATATAAAATACGCAAAATGGTCACACACGAGCAGTGAACGCCTGAGAGAAGAAATGAAGTACATTAGTATAAAGGAGAATTATTTATTAGACAAAGCATATTTTGACAGTTGTCAAGACAAAAATAAAGATTAATAGAGGAATATTTAAAAATAAATAAGACAGGCTATACACCCAAAACAGTACTCAACAATAATAACAATTAAAAAAAAAAAAAATTAAAAAAATTGTTTTATAAACACCAATATGAAAGAAGATATAAATACATCAGCAGACAAAAACTTATAAAACAAAAAACAAATCAAACAAAATCACAAAATAAAAAATATGCTAACAACAATGAATAGCCTAATAATGGAAAAAAAAAATTAATGCTAATGTGTAAACATAATTTGTGTAGTGATTAAGTAATAAACATCTTCTCAGAGACCCGTCTATTATAACTGGCGTTATGATGAGGATCAGCATTTATAACTAGTTTATCCCGTCAGACAAACCTCATTGCCACTTATGCTTTACCCCGCGACTTACGTCTATTCCATACTGCAGTAAAAAAGGACTCCCTACAAATAGCCAAAACCCAACCAACTCCAAATTTGTAAAGCACCAATATTTTTTTGATGATATGATATAAAAAGTGTAGATTTACTAAACAATCAAAAATAACTAAATAAAACACTTACCAGACCACCAAAAGAAAACATGAAAACATAATAAGTTAAAATTCTAATAGAAAGATAAAAATATTAATAAATTTATTTTAAGAAATAAAACCAAATAGGTATTATTAGCATAAACAAGCCCAAGATAATCAGAAAGCAATATACCTCATTAAAAAAAATTTTTTAATCAACAAAACAACAATAGCCTTAGATAAACTTTAACGCTGTCATAGATACCTCATTCGAAATATGATAACCAATCAAAAGTGTAGGAAAATGAGCAACCCGTGAAACTCAAAACGATAACAATAATTGAATAATATATGATAGCGAAAAAGAACGTTGCACAAAAACCTTAAAAATGTAAGAGGCATATATGTAAACATTTGATGAAGGATATAAAAATATTCTCTGAATAATAATAAAGATGAAAACTGTGCATGTGAAAATTAAAAAAAAGCTGAGTAATGAATGCAAGATAATATAACATGAAAGTTTCTTGCAAACAGTAATAATATGAAAATCAGGAGATAAATAATATATTAATAAATATTGCAATAAGACGAACTAAATATTGTAATGAAACCAGATAATTTTAAGCCAAATAAGTGGTTAAAAAATTAGTTGTGGGTAATATAACAATGATATAAGTTGTGATATAAAAACGATGTACAAAGCGGGGAAAAAAATTGTTAAAAAGTTAAGTTTTCTCTATGGTCCAAACTAAAAGAAACTTTGAGACCATATCTAAATCGAAATTTCCGAAAAGTAAAGTTTTCTCTACAGTCAGAATTAAATGTAATTTTGAGACCATAACAAAATAGCAAGAAATAACATATATCATCAAAACATGTCTAAAGCCGCTAGTTTATAAGAATCACTCTTATATTTATATATATACATATGAATCCTTAAATGAAAAACTCAATCACACATGATAAACACATATAGATAACATACAAATCTATATCTACATTTCAACCACATATTATCTATTTAAAAAAAATATTATCTAAATAAAGATGAGTTCAAACAAAGATTTATCTATGAAAGAACAAAAAGCATGCAAATGATGTAAACAGGCTGTGTGTGCATAAGGGTGTATAGGTGTAATGTGCTGTTTATGTCATTTAGTAGAGTCTTGTATTGTTAGTAACCAGCGTAAAAAATTTGCCTCTGAACTAAACCAAGCCAGTCCAGCCATACTCCAGAAAACCATGATGGATTAAACATCTATGCATGGATTTATAACTGACTTATGACTAAAAAGCTAGCCCAGGCATCTTCCACAAACCAACATCCTCTTTCGCGGTGACAGTAATTGCGATTAAGAAAATAGTCATGCTCGATGACCGTAACACTAAACCTTACGGGCTAGGCCCAATATTATTTTAACCATAATTTGTGTAGTGATTAAGTAATAAACATCTCCTCAGAGTCGCGTCCATTATTACTGGCGTTTCGATGAGGATCAGCATTTATAGCTAGTTTATCCCGTCAGACTAATGTCATCAAATGTTTCACTCAATATAAAGGCTTGACGTCACAATTATTTTTGTGTTTATCAAAAAAAAAAAGTATTTCCGCAAAAAAAGTTTTAAAATGCACTAACTTTAAAATAATAGTGTTTTTTTCCTATAAGCGCTTTCATCTTCAAATAAAAAAAATATAAAAGATATGCCTATTCTATACTGCAGTAAAAAAGGACTCACTACAAATAGCCAAAACCTAGATAAAATACCATTTTAATTTTATTGCATATTGAAGAAATTAGAAAAGGAGAGAAAGCTAAAAAAGATAAAAAAATGCAATTAAGAAGATAAGGAATTAAAAAATGATTTGAAAAAAAAATTGAAAGTAGTGAGAGATTTTCATTATCATTAGATAAGTAGTGTTCAAAAAGAAGAAAAAAAAAAGAAAGATGTATTTGAATATCTGTATAAAAAATGTGAATATTCTTGGTATGACAAGAGTAAAAGACCAAGAAGAGTTTTTAAAAAAATAGACAAAACAGCTAAAAACTAAAAAGTTACTGTTATAATAGATGTATTGTCTGTAATTTAAAAAAATGTGATGATTGAATATCTACCAGCAGTATCATGACGGTATCTATTAACAGATTTTTTATAGCCATGCCATACATCTGGCTGTAGTAGATGTTTTATATGTTACAGATTTACACATACATACTGTATGCATATATTTATGCATATATGCATACAGATTTTGTAGAACAAATAATTTGAAGAAGATATTAATAACTATTTAAAAACCAAAACTTGATGGCATTAAAAAACTTTTATACAAAACAAGAACAAAGTTGTTTGAAGAAGCTCTTGAAGAAGAAAATGTGACAAAAATTCAAAAATTGAATTTTTGCTACATTTTCATCATTAATAAATAAAGCTAGAAAAGTAGTTTGTTTTTTATAAGAAAACTAAGGAAAACTTTGTCAGGAAAAAGTCATGGTAACTGATATTCATACCTGCTGGAACTCTATGTTAGCAATGTGGAAGTTGTTTATTTACATATAACACATTGTAAAACTGAATAAATCAAGGAAACAGTAAAATATTTAGAAATCATTGTAAGTTTACTTGCTTAGGGCATATGGAAAACCAATATAAGTAATGCATTTACTTACTAAATTTAAAATTTAATTAAGTGAGAAAGATATAAAACTCTATGAATCAGTAAGTAGAAGAATATAAAAACATGAACACAGAATTCCTAATGTAGAAGGTTTTTTAGAGTATTTAAAAGGTCTTAAAGAAAGGTTTGTTTATATCATGCAAGTTTTAAACACGCAAACTTTTTAAGTCATAGTTAATTCATTCTAATAAATGGGCCTGTATTGCAACTATGGTTTAATAATAATGCAAAATAAATCAGGGTCTCAACTTAAGAAAATTAGAAAACATGCTCAATTTTTCAAAAACATTTACTTTCAAATTGAAATAAACACTAACTTAAATATTATGAAATTTCTAAATGTCACATTTAACTTCTCTGAAATTCTTATAAACCTTACAAAAAAACTGATGATTTTTGTATTAATATAAATTCAAATGAAACCCCTCAAGTCTTGAAAAAAAATCTTATTTCAATTAATAATAGACTAAACCAATAACCTTCTATTAAAATTATTTTTAATTCTTCTGTGTGTATGAAGATGCTTTTAAAAATAAATTATTTAAAAATCTTAAGCTAAAATTAAAAAATCGCAAAATAAAAATATAATTTGGATCAACCTTATCAGCAAAAATATTTCAACAAAGCTTTTTAAAAAATACCTATGAGCAGATTTCCTTCCCTTTTAGAAAAAAAAAAAAGAGATACTATTAAAGTAAGTTATAGCTGAACAGAAAATATAGAAATTTTAAAATTAGTTTATAAAAACTAAATATTTATTAACATAAATGTAATTTAATTAACATTTCTAGTAATTTAATAACATTTTCTTGTACTCATAAATCAAGTATAAAGTCTCACCATTTTTAGCTTCTGTCTTTGCTTGTATGTCATAAGCCATAGTTTCTAATCTAAATAAATTTTTTTGTTTAAAAGTTGAGACTTTTATTTTAGTAACTCATTCATATTGCAACGGTGGAAACGTTGCAATATGAGTAACTAAAAACTATATAAATAAAAACTATATAATGAAACTTTAAAATTACGTTAAATCTTTTATTTTTAAAAGTAATTTAAAAAATTTTTAAATTATTAACTTTATTGAAACTAAAAAAACTAAACTACTTAAAAAAACTATTAACCATGCAGCGTAAATAAACCGTGAGGCAAGTGAGGCTTTCCAAATCTAATCTAACTAGTCTAATCTAGATGTGGCATAAGTTAGCAATGGGGCAAGTGAGGCTTTGTGGCCTAGTCTAATCTGGTTTAAAAAATTAATTACCAAAATTTTAGTAACTTTTTAAATCTAGACTTAAGTAACAAAATTATGAAAATAAAAAGAATTTTCTATTGTACATCCTGATAAAAAAAATCAGTTTTTAAATTTTTTTTTTTTCTTCCCTTGTCTCACATTATTAATTTATAACTTATTTTAAATGTGTGTGTGTGTATATGTATATAATATATATATATATATATATATATATATATATATATATATATATACATTTTAACAATTTTAAAATGTATTCTACAAAAAAAAAAAAAAGCTCTTAAATTGCTGTTCTTAAGAAAACAGCAATTATAAATTAGTACAAATTCACTTGACAAAATTTTTTTTCGTTTAACACTGTATTTCATCAATAAAGACTCAACAGAAATGCGCAGTGTTAAATAAATAAAAAAATTTCAAGTGAATTTGTACTAATTTATATATATACATATACATGTATATATATACATACACATACACATATATACATACACATATACATATACATATATATACATATATATATATATATATATATATATATATATATATATATATATATATATATATATATATATATATATATATATATATATATATATATATATATATATATATATATATATATATATATATATATTATTATGCCAATTTGTAGCTTGAACAGCAAGAAAATCAGTTTGGATAATAAAGGAAAAATGTTATGTTTGTTTTTCCAGAAGAGAATAGAAAAAATCTGAACATCCCAACATTTTCTTTTCGATGTATGCAGTAGCTTCAAAATTTAATTGCTGATCTAAAGTTCTTTTTCTCTGGTAGAGTACGATTTTTAGTGATATGTTCAAACATTTTATCAAAAACTCCACTTGCTTCAGATGACAAATTTGCTACTTTAAATTTCAGCGGGAATCATAGTAATATTTAAATTGCGTTTTTTTTTTTCAGATTTCATTAGATAAGATTTTACAATTTGTATCTCTGCCAAAGTAAACATTTCTGATTTAAATCAAGGGTCTAAGAAAGTAGCGGTAAGAAAAACGTCTTCACTTTAATCAAGCCTCATTTCCAACTGCGTAGTAAGATCATCAACAAATTTACCTATCCCTCTTTTATCCATTAAGCGAAGATAATTTTTTAAAGTTGTAATGTACAGGTAAACTAAACTAACGCTTACGCTTTTTACTGCACTTAGTATAGTAGTGGCTTTAGATACTGCATTTAAAATAGGAGTGACTGTTGTTAATACTTGTTGCACTTGTGTTTCAGTTAGACAAGTCGGTGGCACTTTCATACAGTTTTTTTTTCGTGAACACTCAACTAGAGCAATTTCTATAGAACCATGATTTTTTTAAATCCATTCCAATAAGTTAAAAGTGCTGTTAAAGCGCGTTTCCACATCTATTGGATGCTTTGACTCAGGTTTTCCTTGAGAAACCTGAAAAAACTTTTTGAGAGCTGCCTGTCCAACTGATGATGATTAAAAAAATCCTACTATTTTATTTGCCTAGCTAATTAATGTAACAAGAATTGGTTAGTTGTGTATAGCTGATTTTACACAAAATTGGAGTTTATAAGCACAACAGCCTAGCCAATATCAATATAGCCAATCCCAAGAAGTTTAAGTGTGCATGGCATACTAGGAGTAGTACTGGTTGTAGCTCAAAAATTATTATCTGAAGTCAAGTCAAATTTTGACAGCACGTTTCTTAAAATTTCTTCAGTGGAAGTAGCTTTGTGACAAGCATTTATTACTTTCAGATTTACAACTGATAAACAGCATGATTCTAAAATCCAAGAGGATGAAATAAAGTGACTAGTAGAAACAAGAAAGTTGTCGAAAAGTGATCAAAAGTGATGCTAGCTTTGAAGATAAACTGGCTTTTTATACTTTGTTGGAAGTTAATATATAAATCATCAACCATATCACCTAAATTTTGAGATAAAGTGGTCGGGTGCGGTGGATGATATTGCCTTAAAGTAAGCACCGAGCACAGATTAATAAAGCCAGATCCAGAAGTTGTCTCAAATGATCTTCCATCTTCAATTATAAATCTAAGCACTGCATGATCATAGTTTTTTTAAATAACTATACAAATTTAACAAGGAACTTGATGATTGCTCGATTGTGTTATCAGAATTCTTTTTTCTTTTAGTAGCAAATGTGCGCTTTTTTGTTGCTTCTACGTGTAGTTTTTTATGGTCACATTTTAAATGGTTCCATAGATGAGATAAAGTTCCAGTTTTCTGAACAGAATACTTTTTGTTGCAATTTTCTTGTTTGCATTGCCAGAATACTCCTTTTTTTTCAAAGAATTCTTTAACTGCAGATTTTTTAGAAGTCATTTTATAGCTTGATGCAAAAATAGCTTAATGTAGCACAAACAAAAAGTATTAAATTTAAAATTACTTTAGTGAAAGCAAAGTCAAACATTACTAATTTGCATTCCGCTCTGTTTAAATCCCTAATCAACAATTAATTTTAATGAAAAGTATGTTTATGTTCCAAAATTACTCTACTGCTGAATTTTCTGATAACATAAATATTGATATTTTGAAAACTTTTTAACGCCGTTTGTATGAAAACATAAAGTAATTTAAATAAAAAATGATTCAAAAAACTTGAAACATTTTTTTTTAATCGAATCTCGAATCGAAGCGACATTTGATTTATGAATCGAATCAAAGCGATTCGCAGGGCCCTTATATATATATATATATATATATATATATATATATATATATATATATATATATATATATATATATATATATATATATATATATATATATATATATATATATACATATATATATATATATATATATATATATATATATATATATATATATATATATATATATATATATATATATATATATATATATATATATATATATATATATATTGATTTATTTTTTATTTTATTTTATTTCTAATATCTAAGATTTTAACTATATTTTAGGAATATATTTAAAATTATAAAATTAAATAAGAAATAAACAATCAGCAAAGAAACTAAAAGTCTAACAGATTATTTTAATATAGATGAAAATAAACGTTATAATTAATTTGTAAATTTTGCAAAATAAAAATATCATAAAAAGGAACATCGGACAAGATCTATTTTTTTACATTTTACATTACATTTACATTTTACATTACATTTACATTTCTTGATTTAAAACTTATCTTCTTGTATAGTTTTAATCCAATAATTATTTTCCTAAATTATAAAAAGATACTAAATGCAGGGAGCTCCTAATAAAAAAAAGTTAAAAATATTCAAAGGTTTAGTGGTCTATATAATAACTTATAATAGTTATATTTTTGTATACAGTATAGTAAGACAAAAATTAAAAAAACTTATTTTTTAAAACAATCAGCATTGGCCAATGGTCCATAACTGATGCCAAAGCATCGGCTAAATGGTCAATGCATAGGCAGGCCGATGAAAAGGCATTAGTGCACCTCTAATATATATACATATTCCCTGACTCAAGGAAACAAAAACACATTAACTTTTGTTTTCTACTGAGTTAACAAGGTATAAAGTATAAACATGTGTTAAATAAAAAAGAGTTAATCCACTGTTATTCAGGTGGTAACCCTTTTATCCAAGAAGCATCTTGGTGGATCTAAAATGATTCATCATTTTGTAGCAAAAATGCAAAGAAAGGTTATAAGCAAACTAAATAAAAATTCCCAAATTAGAAAATTTAAAAGCAAAATAAATCACTCAATCGACACCAATCCTTATATCTAAATAACCTATATATCTATATAACCCTTATATCTATATAAACATCAATATATCAAATCTGGCACCCCCAAAAATCTTGCAATAATAAAGGCAGTATAAGATAACTCAAAATAAATTGATAAAAGCCATATTTAATGGCATCTCATTAAAGTAACTTAATTGAAAAAAAAAAAAGAAGAAGATTTATATTTACTATAACTAAAGCTTAACAAGTCACTTAATAATTCCATTTTTGTATTAATGTATACACTCACCTAGGGCTCAATTTAAGGTGGATCATCACCAAAAACTTTTTTTTTTTGAAAAAATTAACTTTATTGATTTTATTTGTAAACAAACTATTATTTACATCAACAAATAAAAAAAATAAAATTTTTTTTAAATTTTTGTTAAATTTTTTATGCATAATCAGCAAAAGTAAGTAAATTTTGATAAAAAATCATAGCAGACCTCAAACCTTATAACTCAAGAAAAACAAGTTCATTTTGAATCAAATTTAACAAATGTTCTCTATACTCACTGCACTAAAAAATGAGTGGAAAAAAAAAATTAAATTAACAAAGCTAAAACTAATTTTGTGTTATTTTTTTTTTTTACATTTTGTTAAAAGGTTGTTTTTTTTTTCGATTTTTTTTTTACATTTCGATAAAACAGTCAGATAAATACACAAAAAAATAAAAACCTGCTTGCTCATCCCTTAGAGAATATTACTAGGAACATTTCCTGAAATTTTGAAGTAAATTGATGAACTTTTGGCCAAGTTATGATGTTTAAAGTAAAGAAAAAGACTAAAAAATCAAAGTGTCATAAAAATCATTTAAAAAAAAAACTATTGTTAAAATGCTCCTGCTTTTGCCAATAAGTCCTTGTTTAATAG